ACAACACTTGAAGTCTGCCTAATTATTTTAAGAAAATTCGTTTTCGAATTAATGGTATATGGTAAAATAAATATATTGTTTGGACATGTTGATCTGCCTTTTTTGGTTCCATATACGTGAGTTTCACGTTGATTGTTTAGACTTTTAGCCGATTATAATTAGAAAGAAGTCTGCTCTATGTTACTTGGAAAACACGGTTTATCTTATGTGGTTTACCTTTTTTGCAGATGGCGGCTCAGTTGCCTGTTGTATTTGGAGAATGGGTTATGGGTGCTCAGTCGTGGCATTTTGAGGTGGATAATCGCAAAGGAGGGAGGTTGTTCTTCTTGAATGATGGTTGTACACATGGAGAACTCGTAGCTATGGCTCTAGATGATTACATGCTGGATGGAAATACGGACAGCGTGTCTATCACTTATGCATTGCCAGATTCAATGTTAGCACACATGGCTCCGGATACCCCTCCTATGCATATTACTAATGATAGACAAGTACAGAGCTTGATTGGGTTGAGTAAGACGCATGTTATACGTCTTTGTGTATCTAGTCGCAAGGACAATGATGGACGTACTGGTGGTGTTGATGCTGCTGATGGGTGTTCTGTTGAAGGTGGGAATCAAACTATTGAGGAAGGTGAAGATGATAATGTCGATGAGTATGATGATGATGAGATAAACGAGGACATCAAAAACGATTCAGTAAAGGAGGAAGACGGTGCTGACTCTGAGGGTCAGGACTCTGAGGATCAGGACTACAACCAATATGGGAAAGTGAAGGATGAGGATTCAAATTCTGATTCAGAGGGTGAGCGGATTGAAGAACCGGTGAAGGCTCCTCAAAGAGGATATGAAAGAAATTGGGTTGACAAAATAAAAGTAAACGGGAGTTTTGCTACAAAAGACGAGCTGATTTCTGAGATCAGGTTGACGACTGTTATGTTGAAGTTTGCATTCAGAGTTGATAAGTCATCGAGACGTCTGTTTGTTGCTAAATGTGCTGTTAAAGGATGCCAATGGAGAGTTAGAGCAGCTGTAAAGAACGAAGCAAAGACATTTTGGGTCACTAAATATGTCAAAACTCATACCTGTTCTGTTTCAGATCGGTTGGCTCACCGAAAGCATACGACTCCAAGATACATTGGAAAGTTATTTATAGAGCGTGTGGGGATAATTGATGGGATTACTGCAGAACACATCAAAGATTCAATGCATGCGATGTTTCAATTGAAAATAGACTACACAACTTCGTATAGAGCTTTGATGTATGCACAAGAATGTGTGAGGGGAACCCCTGAGGATGGATATAGCCGACTGCCTTCTTATTTGCGTCTGATCGCTGAAGCAAATCCGGGTACTATAACTGCCCTTGAACGCGACAGTCAGAATAGGTTCAAGTACCTATTCTTAGCCTTCAGAGCCTCCATTGCTGGTTTTCAATATCTCAGACGGGTCATTGTTGTCGATGGGTGTCATCTGACTGGAAAGTATGAAGGGACTCTGCTAGTGGACACAGCACAAGATGGTAACTTCCAGATATTTCCACTAGCTTTCGGAATAGTGGACTCTGAGAATGATCACGCATGGGAATATCAGAACCTCGATTAGCAAGTGCTTCTTTCACTCTGTACCCTATGAACTCCTCGATCTCGCTAATGGTCTTCTCGGTTGCAGCAAGGCGATCCTCCAATGCATACAGCTGATTCTCATATGATTGCAGAAGGGCTGTTCGGTTGTCACGGAACATGCTTTCGCTCTGCTTGTCAATTCGTATTTGAAGAATGGTCAGCTGCTCTTCAATGGCTTCATCCCACCATTTGGAGATGTGACCCGGTTTATTCTACACATATGACCAACGAAAACTTCAGTTATATTCGATGAATAACATTAAAACTATACACATATTGAGAAAAACCTCATTAAAACTATACACATTCGCCTAATATTTCAGGGCAACTATAGAACTTCCTGCCAAACGTCTCTGGAGCTGTAGACTCTTCCAATCTACATCGAAGGCCGCAATAGCATCGTTCAGGTATCCCAAAGTCTCCATCAGCTTTGACACACCCGCTGTCATAGCTTGCTTTGGAAGATGAGCTGTTGGTGTAGCTTATCGGCATTACTCTGTAGAGATCAAGCAAACAAACTTGGCAGTTAACAAACAAAAAACTAAAACAGATACGACCACATAATAACTTTGCAGCTAAAAACAAAACTACAAAAACAAACTTTCCAAACAAATATTTCTTACTCGCTAAACAACAAAATAACAAAAAAGCTACATCTTGAAATAAAGAAAAAATCGAAATATTTTTACTTACTTGCTCACGGAATCTGTGAAAAAAGTATTTTTACTTAGATCTGTTAAAAAAACAGTAAAGCAAAAAGACAAAAGAACAAAAGAACAATTTTAAAGGACAAACCAGCAAACAATAAGATACGGACTAAACAGATAATGTAATGGCGAATAACTCACAGATCTGGAGAGATAACTAAGAACGATGAAGACGCCGGCTGAGATCTGCAGCAACAATATATGTAGTGATATATAAGAAACAACATATGCATCAGAAACAGAAAAGAAGAGATGGGGAGCACCAGGAAAGGCTTACTGCGAGAGAGAGTCGCGGCGAGAGAGACCAGAGTGCAGCGCCGTTTTATAGTGATCTAGGTTTTTTTTATTTATGGTAACGACTGGTAAGTTTCTTTATATACTATGTTAAAAAAAAATTCCGGTTAGGTTAATTATTCTGGTTTGACTAGACTTCGATACGTAGTCTACTGAGCAAACTGATAAAGAAGTCTGCTGAGCAGACTGATAAAGAAGTCTGCAACTCTATTTAAAACTTTTCACTTTTCTATGTTTATCTTAGATGGTTAAAAATGATTCATTTATAATTTTTATAGATCACACTTGTTGACATTTGATTTATATAAACAAATTTCAGTTTACATTATTTTTATATAATTTTTAAATTTAAAATTAATATTTAATATTATAGTAAACTTCTTTATCAGTCTACTCAGCAGACTGATAAAGAAGTCTGCAGCCCTAGTTTAAAACTTTTCACTTTTTATGTTTATCTTAGATGGTTAAAAATGATTTATTTTTGTTAAATTATAATTTTTATAGATCATACTTGTTGACATTTGATTTATAAAAACAAATTTCAGTTAACATTATTTTTATATAATTTTTAAATTTAAAAATAATATTTAATATTATAGTAGACTTCTTTATCAGTCTGCTGAGCAGACTTCATTAGTATTTGCAAAGTTCTAAGGGTTATAATCGTAATTGAGACATCCGTTTTATTGTTTACTCATGTAGGAGATAATGGTAATTTCTCTACCCCTCTGACCTATTTTTGCAATAAGTTGAATTTGGGGTATACTTTTGCATTTGGAATCAAATTGTGGCCTATTTTTAGCAATTCTCCCTATAAAAATGTCATTATAACATGTCCATTTATATTGATTCGAAAAAATCACAATCATTAAAACATAATTATAACCTGTTTATTCATATTATTTGTATATTTATATAGTTTTTTAAGTTTGATTATTAAAAATTTTAGATTTATTTAATAAAAATTTACAATAATATATTATTTTTATCTTTGTCATTAAAAATATTACTTAAATTTTAATATTTAAATTAAATCTAAATTAATATCAGATTTATCATTTTTGTAAAAATATAATAATAATTTATTTTTATGATTTTTGATAAATAATATAACCTATATTTAAGAAAATTTATAACAAATCTAAATTTAAATTTAAATTTAAATTTTCGAATATATTTTAAAATATAAATTTAAATATATTATTTTATTAATAATATAAAATTAAATCTAAATTATATTAGATTTATCATTTTGTCAAAATATAATAATAATTTATTTTTATGATTTTTTATCAATAATATAATATATATTTTAGGAAATTTATAATAAATCTAAATTTCAATTTAAAATTTTAATTTATTTGAAAAAAATAAATTAAAATAAATGATTTTATTAATATTATAGAAAATTGATTTATTTGATAACATAAATAAGAGTTATCCAAAAATAGATTAGTGAAAAACTAAAAATAAATCGGTTTGGACACAAAAATGCTTCTGTTTTAATTGTATAGATGTGTACACAACCATACCCTATCACACGTACATATTACAGTAAAACCTCTATAAATTAATAATGTCAGGATCATGATATTTTATTAATTTATCATGATATTAATTATTAATTTATAGAAAAAATTTGCTTTCCGCTTATAATTTTTTAAAAACGTTTTTGGAATAGTGTTATATTTTAAAATTTTAACAAATCTCGTAATATAAATTATGATTACTAATCATAACTATTGCAATAAATAGTTTTTCATATCATATTGAATTGTCCTTGTAAAAAAATATATGTTCATAAGTTTAAAATTTATAAAAAAAACTACGACTACTATCCGTATTATTGATGATAAAATTGAAGATAACACTACAATACATACAAAAACTTTTCCATGTAAGAAAATAAATTATTATATCAAAAATTATCATAAATTTTGAATGTATATAGTAAAACACTAATAAGAGCTACTTATATAATAATTAGAGAGATAAGATCCAATGAGATTTCAACCTTTAAGTCAAAGCAAACACATTAATCATATTTTAGAATATTTTAGAGATAAGATCCAACTTTAAATATTTTACACTATTTTATTGCAACGTTAAGTCAAAGCAAAAACATAAAAATATAAAAATATAATTATTAATTTATGTTTTTGCTGGGATCATATATTTATTAGGAGTTTCAAAAAAAAATATTATCTTATTATCTTATCGAATTTGATAGATTTTTACATTAGCCCGACTTGAAACCAGCAAAATTTATTAATTTATAGTAATTATTAATTTATAGAGGTTCTACTGTAATTGTGTTGTTTATGTCTTTAGAAGTAAGCATGAGTTTGACAAAAAAAAAAGGTAAGCATGAAAAAGTGTATTTATGCATTTATTATTACGTGTCTAGCTTTTTATTCGTTTTTCATTCTCTAAACGGACATGCATTAACATTAAACACATCTTTTGTAACAAACTATAAATAAAAAACATTTCCTCTTTGCATCATTTGATCTCTTCAGCGAATATGACATCGAAGATGTGTTGCACTGCACAATAGTTATTATAGATAAGCTAAAATCAACGAAATGTAACATTTTTTATTTCACAAAGCAAACATAACAAACGAAGAAGAAATGATATTACCTTCATTATTCGGTATATTTGGCTGATCAACCACTAGGTATTGTAACGCGTTTAAATCGCCAGGACTATACAAACAGTAAACAAAGAACATAAGACCAATTTTGAAACAAACTTGCCAAATTTTTGAACAAAGCTATATCCTCAGTACCTTGGTTTCAGGATAAGACATGAAAGTGCCGAAAAAATCGAAGTTTTAAGATGGTATCTGCAGGATTGTGTTAAACCACAAATCAGAGAATGGTGATTTTAAACTCAATAACTAAGCAGATTTCTGTTTGCTTACTCTGACTGATGCATGTCATAAAGAAGAGAAAGTCCCTCCAAGCAATCTGCGATGCAAGGTTTTACTCCTATTCGTTCCTCTGCTCGCTTCTTGCTCAGTTCCATTTTTAGTGTTTGTGAACCGTCTCGATGTAGCTTCTCAAACGTCAAAACACATCCTCTGAATTCCTCCCTTCCCATCATCACCACCAGGCACCAACCATCAAAGTTTACATGTCAAGAACTCTTACAAATTACTAGAAGAATTCTACAAACATTGTAAAAGAATACTTACAAAATGTTTCTCATGGAAAGCAGAAGAGTCTTTAGTTGATCCATCTCTTTCTGCAAAACCGCGTCTTCAATCCCCTTTACGCATCTCAAAGCTCCAAAGCTCCCATGATTTTGAATTACCTACTCTCAAGACCAAAAAAATCATACATAGGGTTTTGAAAATCGCAGACAATAAAAAGAGTATTAATTTTAGCTACCTGTAATCTCTGGATGATAGAAGAGGCGTTACTGAAACGAGAAACCCATCGAACTTGAAGTGCCTCCCACTTTTCCATCTCCTCTTTCGCTTTTCTCAGCTTCTGCTGCCATTTCTTAATTACTGCCTCCATTCAAAACACTATAAAAATTCCTCTTCTAGTAACCTCCCGGCAGCAACCTAGAAAGAGACAAGGTATGCTTTCGGGTTTCAGACAATAAAGGTACTGAATATAACTTTCAAGTGTTCTCTATTACAATTTATTACACTAAACTTGGAGAAGATGAGACCCCGAAAGCGAAGTTTTCACATATTAAGATCAATGTTCAAAAATGCCACCCATTTCTTCGCCAGAATCTACGAGCATTGTCTTTAAGACGAGCCTCTTTGATCTTAAGAAACAGCTTATAAGCCATTTCTGTTTTTCTTGAAGACATGAGTTTATTGCTAAGCCTACTATAAACAAACCGGTTCGGGCAAAACCCTTTCCGCATCGCTTCTTCCATCACAAGCACAGCATTCTCAAGATGTCCAATGTTACAGAGCCCATCAACGATATACTCGTAGACTTCCACATCCGAAGAATATTCACACTCTTGCATTTCGTCCCACACGTTCAACAACATCCCACATTTTCCAAACCCTGATAGCCGTTTAAGCAACAGCTTATACGCGCTCTGCGATATCCTACACCCGGCTTTTCTCGCTTTCTGATATATAACCATCGCAGCGTGTGGTGGGCCGTAGCAGCAAAGCGGCTTGAGAAAAGAGGTAACAAGCCCTGTGGTGGGAACAATCCCTCTTGATAACATCTCTTCGTATATCTCAAGCGCGTCTGCAATTTTACGGCCTTTGATTAAACCAGAAACAAGCTTGGAATAGGTCTCCCAGTTTGGTTCGCATCCTTTATCAAGCATTCTCCGGTAATACCTTACGGATTCATCGAAATCTCGAGCAAATATGAAATTACAGATCATAGCGTTGTAAACATTTGCGTCGGGAACATCCATGTTATCAAAGATCTTAACAGAGTCATTAACACGACCAGCTCTTCCCAAACCTTCGATAAGGTAACTGAAAGACAAACCGTTTGGGACGAATCCACTCTCGACCATCTCCTTCAACACCTTCTCCATTTCTCCAACTTCACCGAGCTTCGACCACCCACTGATCATAATGTTGTAAGTACATACATCAAAAGGTATCTTCCCTTTCTTCGCATTAAACACCGAGCTTGCAGCAGAAACATGCGAACGCTCGCAGAGACACTGCAACAGTGCGTTGAATGACTCAGTACAACATTTCACTCCAAAATCTTCGCTTTCTTCGAACAATTGTATCGCTCTACGCACATAACGAGCTTTGGCAAAGCTATCCATGGCGATAATCAAGCACTTCAGATCAGGGTTAACCATTTCCCGTAACACATCCGTCATGAAAGAGAAGAACTTTCTTCTTCCTAGCGCTCTTAATATCACATAGTAGCTTTCAACGTCTTTAGACACGCCCGGCTCGCGAATCGCCCAATCGAAGAACGTAACCATTGCTTCGCCGCTTAAATTCCCTCGATCGACAACATTTGACACAGTTTCGATACTCAAATCGATACCGAGACTAGTTAAAGCCTTTCGTGTAGCAGTTTCTCCCTTTAGTTTCTGAAGAAACACGCCTCTGAGTTTTTCCTCCGGCGACAAAAACGAATCAACGGCTAATTGATTCCTCGAACTAACGTCGTCCTTCGCCGTCGAGGTTTTTGATGAAATCGGAAGCAGTGAAGATAATTCAGCTAGAACATAACTCTCATCCACAACAGCATGATTCGGTGATGACAAAAGATCCTTTGAGGCTGTGCAAACTTTGCGATTGCATAGAGAACCCGAAATTAGGGTTCTTATATCACCGAGATGAATGCGACGAAACGAGTCTGTAACTAGGTTCCATCTCCTATACATAATCTCTCGATTCCAAAATCTAACAGTTTGCGATTAGAGCGGATTTTTATTAATCTCTTAACTAAATCTCTGCTAAGAAGAAATTCACTGGAGAGGTAAAGAGATGTAATAAGGGATTAGAGAGAACTTACGAGGAAGATCGAAGAAACTTGCTTGAGAAGATTCAGTAGGAGAAGAAGAAGAAGAAGAAGAAGAAGAAGAGTGACTGAGAATCGGATTTTTCATCAAAGGCATCCCGGTTGAGTTAGGGTTTAATGCCTTACTGTTTCAATTAACAGTGAGATCTTCGGTTTACGATTAATGTTCGGTTCAATAGATAACCAGAAGAGATAATGTACCAAAGTGATTGTCTAGACGAATTACTTCGAACCGACCAGAACCCAACCGAACCGAATTAGAATGAACTTAACCGAACTGATAATTATGAATCGTTTTATTAAATTAATTTTTGTATACCAGACTTTACAATAAACAATGCTAACAAATTCGTACCGGTGCAATTCCAGACTTTACACTAAACAGTGCTAACAAATGAAGCGTAAAGAAGACGAAAAGAAAACCTCCACACCGTTGTAAACAGAGCAGTTACCAAAAAAAGTCGCAACCCTTCAAAAACATATAAATAGATAACAAATCAACACTCTGCTTTCTATCGCCAAATCTTCTTCGAATCCTTTGTTTTTATTTCTTTCCCAAAAATCACCAACAATGGATTCAAGAAGAAACCGAGTCAGATTATCCAGTTTACCGGATACTGTTTTGGTTCGGATCATCTCTAACTTGCCCTTCAAGTTAGCTGTGAAGACGAGTGTTCTAGCGAAACGATGGAAGAATCTACACCGTGAAACAACTAACGTCGCTTTTGTAGAATCAGACTTCGTGAAGAAACGTTCTGTCTCCTACGACGAAGAAACCAGAAACAAAGCTAGGGTTTCGTTCGTACGCTTCATGGTTAATTGGGTCTCAAAATTCTCCGGTGAAGGCGTCCAGAATTTCAAAATCATTCTCTCCAAAACGGTGGGCTTCGAAGCAGAGATCACGTCGCTGATACAATTCGCCGTCTCAAAACAAGTCAAGAACCTAGTTCTTGATTTCTCCGACCCTTATTTGTCCCCAAGAAAACAAGCAGAAGCAGCATCAGGAGCGAGCGTGTTTCACTTTCCGGAATGCGTTTACAATCTCGAGTCGTTGAAGCTAGTCGCTTGTGGGTTTGATCCTTCAAGGCTTGCGCATCCTGGGTCGTTGAAAAGTCTCTGTTTTGATTGGATCCAACTCGGAAATATCACGGCTTTGTTATCAAGGTCTCCTCTTCTCGAGTCTCTAACCATTAAAAACTGCTGGAACGTTGGTCTCGAAGCGATAACCGAATACAATAGCCGGTTAAGGGAGTTGGTATTCCAGAATTCCGGTTTCGCCACAAAGAACTCTACTCTAGACCTCCCCAATATCAAGTTCTTCAAGTACACTGGAGAAGTTCATTACTTTCAGTTCTTGAAAGTAAGCAAGATAATGGAGGAAGCAATCTTGGATTTTGGTGCAGAGACAGAACACGATGAAGCGGCCGGAACAGCTCTCTGCGGTCTACTTTACGGTCTCTCATCGGTTAAGAAGTTAACGGTTTGTCCTTTCTTGATCAAGATGATCAAAGACAGTGAAGATCCGGTTCAGTTACGAGCACCGATGGAAACAAGACATTTGGTGATCAAAACCAATCTTGTACCGGATGAGTTCATCGGGATTACACTCATGATCAATAGTTGTCCTGTTTTGGAAACTCTGACTTTCCAAATGCTTTCTCCCATACCTGAACCAACGACCAATCCTGGATTCGATCCGGAAACGTATTGGACGTATGTACTTAGCCATGAGTGCTTGAAGAAGACCTTAAAGGTTGTTGAAGTGAGGAACTTCACTGGAGGCACGTACCAGTTGCATATTCTGAGGGTTTTGATTCGGTGGGGTCTTGTATTGGAGAAGGTGGACTTGTATTTGCCGTGGAGATTGCCGGAGGTTTACAAGAACATGGCTCGTAGTATAGTGAGGAATCTTAGGGATACATCTGAGGCATCTTCGGATCTTTTATGGATTCGTGTACTCGACCCAGCAAGACCTAGTTATTGAGTGTGTTTTAATTTCCAGTTATCTTTTCGAATTAGAAAGATTGAAGAAAATGTGGTTACGGTGTTTTGTATCCCTACATCTGCAAAACCTTTGTTTGGTTTTAATATTTAGTGGGTTTCTTTTTTTTATTAGAGCATGTATATTTGGGGTTGGAGAAAGGTTCGGCTCGACTTCATAGGCAGTTTTGATTAAAAAAAAGAAATAATATTTATATGGGAATGATCGGTTCATCAGGATAACCCTGAAGACTCCAAGTTCGTCCAGATTCATCCAAATAACAAAATATCATTGGGCGAAAGTTTTTTTTTTAATTTTCGAATTAAAAAAAAAATTTAATATCTGATGAACCTTTAAGAGAGGTTTACCAATAGACATGCTCTTAGTTACTTTATGACTGTGTCGCTTCTTTTATATATCCCTCCAAGAAAAAGAGGAAATGGAGTAACAAACATTCAAAAGAGACGAAGAACCAAAAAAACATAAAGTAACCAACAAAACTTAAAAGTTGTAACACACACACTGATAAAACTTAATTCCGCAGAAATTGACATAACCGCGATTTTGTTTACTAATAGTGCCACGTACAGGATCTTGCCATGTTTTTAATACAAATCTTGTACAAGTTATTGTCTGTGACTCTGTGAGTACAAACCAAATCCGCATATTTTGTGACTTCAGGCCAGTCTTGAGAAGCAACAAGCTAACAAAAAACAAAACCGAGTTTTAATGAAATTCGAACAAGCATGAAGCCGTTAAATGCACCGAAAAAGCTTTGCCGGAGAAGATAATCATCGAAAGAACATTGTTTTATTGATTCACAAGTGAAAGATGCAGAGACTTTATCTAATATTTTTTTTATAGACTTTTTCTACGGCACCGAGTATATTTGTAAAATTAATACAATAAGAAAAGGTGGAAGCAACATAGCTTAAACAAATTAGGGTTTTGGCCAAAGATCAAAAACAAATTAAGGTGGAGCACTCGAAATCAACTTCTTCTTCCTTTCCTATCGATCTAACCTCAGAGATACTCTTACGTCTGCCTGAGAAATCAGTGGCGAGGTTTCGTTGCGTGTTTAAGCTTTGGTCATCAATCACCACCGATCAATATTTCATCAACTCGTTCGAAACTCAAACTCGGTCCCCACCGTTGAGTCTTCTACTCTGCTTCCAAAAAGATGACAGCTTGTTTGTTTCCACGATTCCGCAACATACTCTTATTTCGAATAGGTCTTGCTCTTCTTCTCAGCCTATTGATCGTTATCATAGTAAAATTCCAGGAAACTATAGTCACTACCACTCTATGGAATCTGTCAATGGCTTGATCTGCTTTGAAGAATCAGGAGAAACAGGGCATCTGATAGTTTGGAACCCTAGCAAAAAACAGTTCTTAACCATACCCAAACCTAGAAAGATCTGGAGGGAGAGAATAGTCGTTTTAGGATACGATCCCATCGATGGTAAACACAAAGTAGTGTGCATTCCCTTTTGTAACTACTTTTCTGATGTGTGCGAAGTTTTAACACTTGGGTCTGCTCAAGAATCATGGAGAACGGTCAGAACTACCTATAATCATTCTGCTTACAGGCTTAGTTCTGTAAAATGCATCAAGAGGATTATATATTATCTAGCCTATAGTGATCGTAGACATGGTTTTGTCTTGATGAGCTTTGATGTCAGATCTGAAAAACTCGACTTGAGAGTACTAACATCCGATATTCATTATGGAACACGACTGATAAATTATGGGGGGGAGGTTAGCTTGTCTTGACAAAAACAATGTTAGAAGATTGTGGATTTTGGAGGATGTAGAGAAAGACAAGTGGTCGAGTCAAGACTTTCATGTACCTTTCCGTCACCATGATCTGAGCTTGCGTACCTATTTCAGTCTAAAAGGTATTACTCATGCTGGTGAGTTTATTTATGTACCAGACACATTTCATATATCGTTTTATATTTTGTTTTTTGATCCGGTAAGAAACAGTCGTAGAAGATTAGAATTTAATAGACTCCTAGACGACGAATCTGGTCTCGATAATGGAGATCAAGACAAACCGTATCTCCATGTTTTCCCGAATCACATTGAGAGTCAAATGTCATTGTAACAATTTGTTGCTTCTTTTTATTTTGGTTTAGAGTTTAAAATTTTTTAAGTTGGTGAGGTTTTGATAAGTGGTTTTGGAGGAAACAGTTAGGGCTTTACGGGTTTGAGGGTTTTAGGCAGTCAACCGAAATTTTGATGATTTTAGAGTTTTAGAGTGGAAGACAGATGTTGAATCAGTGTCAAAATACATCATGCTTATATCTCTGTTTTAAAAACACAGAATTTGAAAAGGCAAGAAACGTGAATAAGAAGTAAGCATTACTGCTTACGTATTTTGCTAAGTTTTATTTGCTAAGCTATTGATTTTCTCCTTCAGGCTTCAGCTGACAGATTTGTGAGGTGATTTTATCGTTTAGCTGCCTGAGAAAATAGTTGGGAATTCATAAATAACGTTCTCTCTAGGCAAACAGTGGAAGTGGACAAATATATAAGTGCAATCAATTTGTCTACGTACAACATATTTTTTTCTTCATCAAACACATGTGAAAATATAACATAACCCATCAAATGAATATCATCGCCATATGCATCTGATCTCTATATAAACTGATATGATCGTGACCAGCTCAGAGGAGGAGGAATCAGAGGTAGCTGGCAGGATCACTCGTTCCAGAGCTAGAGAGATGGCTAAGGAGGCACACACACTCATGACCGCAGAGGACATCAATTAACTGGAGGCTGGAGCTCACATCTTCAACATCTCTATCTTGAAGAATGAAGAATCCAGTAACAATGACTAGGTAACTTAGGTGATGATTCTGTACTCTTTTCCTTGGTGAGGATTTTGGAAGGCAAGGAGGTTCTTCTCCAAGGTTTTTAACGAGATAGAAATCATTGCTACGTCGAGTTACTTAGAAGTTGTTACTAATGGGTAATAACGTGCAAAGTCACAATGACTTGTGCACTAGTTGTTTTAGGCGCACCACTTAGGATTTAAAAGGGACGCTTCGCTGTTTTATTTTTAATCAAACTTCTTGTTGTTTTTATTTCAAACTTCATGTAGTTTATTTCTTAGGGCTGCGATTTCTCTCTAAGTCTATTTAAGAGAGAAAATCGCCTAAATATTATTCAGTGAAGAATTTTGATCAAACTTTTAACGTGTTCTTCTCTCTTTGATTTCTGAGAACTAAAAACTCTGAAATTCGAATCTCTTAAAAACTAATCTGTTTACAAGAGATTCTTCTATCTCTCCATTCCATCGATTCAACCATCATACTACCATCACCATTCCATCGGTTCTATCTCTTCCACCATACCATCGATTCGAGCCACCAGACCATCATCGTCATCCACTCGATCCGTTCTCCACCATCGTCCTCATCGCCGCGTTCATCACCACCACCATCATAAGTCCATAGAATCCTCTCTAGCCTTTATTCTTCAGAGTAGATCACCTTGGATCATATCACGTGGTATCAGAGCCAACTCTGAACCAAAGGCTGAGCAATCTCTAACCCTAATCGCCATACTTGATTTGATTCATTGTTTGATTTCGTTGCTTAGATCATTAGGGTTTATCGAATTCTGGTGATTGTTTGCATCGAGTTTCTTATATTTAATTGAATCATCATATCGCTATTAGTTTAATTCGTTGTCTCACTCCTGCGTTCTCGTTATATTGCATCGATCTGTTTCCTTTTGAATATTGTATCGTTATTGCTTCGTATCGTTAGCGAGTTCGTTTGCTATTGTTAGGGTTAGTCAAGTTTCGCATCGTTCGTTGTTAGTCCTGCTAGTCATCGATCATTTGCTATTGTTAGGGTTAGTCGGTTTGCTATTGTGTTTGTTTCAAGTTTGTTTGTGTCGAGTCTTATCGCATCATATCGAATTTGGTAGATCGAGTTTAGGGCTCTGATTGTCTCGTTTTCGTTAAATTTGATATTTAGTTGCTTCGTTTCGTTTAAGTTTTATTAAGAGAGTCTTCGTGTTTAGTTTTCGTCTAGGTCGATCTCGTTTTCGTTAGGATTTGTTAAGAGTTTGTGTATTTGGTACTTAGCAAAGGAGCAAGAATTACAATGGAAATAATCAGAGGAGTACCTTCACAGGTAATCAGAACTCTTCTGGTTACACTTTCAAACCTCAGTACCAGAACTCCTACACTAACATCAGTTTTTTCAAAGAGCTATGGTCCTCCTCCTCAAACTCCAGATAATGAGATAAAGTCTATACTTGAACAAATCTTGGAAGGTCAGGAGAAAATCACTGTGAATTTTAATGGGAATATTGGTGCTCTTTATCTGGACCTGAATGGAAAAATGAAAGCTTTAAACACTCATATCAAGAAACTTGACATTCAAGTTGCTCAGACTGCAGGGTCTGTATTCCTTCCTAGAAAGACTGACACTAATCCTAGGCATCATTGTAGTGTCATCTCATTGAGAAGTGGTAAAAATCTAACTCTTGCGCTGAAAAAGGGTGCTACTAAGGATGAAATCATGGAGTTAGATGAATTTGAAGAGGATTTGAAAGTGCAGAACCAGTGCCGGTCGACACCACTGCTGCAGTCAGGTAAATTCTCTGTTTTTTTAGTAACTTCTCTGTTTTTAATGCTTCCATTTAGTTCGTTTTATTTTTCTTAACAACTTCAGACTTGGTAATACTAGAGACAGTGTTGTTTAAGTCTGGGGGAGGCGGTTGCTGACATTGTGTTTGTTTTTCTTAGAGTCAGTTATGTCAGTTGTTTTTGATACAAAACTTATTAAAAATTATGATACTTTTCTTGAATATATACTGCAAAATCAGTTTAGATCCTATTAATGAAAAATCCAAAGGTTGACCAGTTAACTAAAGGCGTCCATATTTATGACAGAATATATCCATTAACCTGAGCTAATATTTGAACTCCTTTTTTTACCTCATTGATGTGACTGGTGTTCATAGAGCTTGACTACTCATTTATACTTGACAAATGAAAGAATATGTGAGATCTAAAAATGGTGTTCATAGAAGTTGATCTTAAGTTTAA